GTGATTGGGTCACTGCAATTTTTCATGATTTTCCAGTAAAATGTACCCCATTTACTTTCAATTCGCTGTCTTATATGGAACCGCAAATTGAAAATTCCTTCATATCTTGAATCTGGGGACTATAAGACATGTTTTCTCAAGTGGCCATCAAGATATGCCTCGAAATTTAAAAAAATGTTCCACCCTATTGCATAGAATGCAGCGCCAACTATATGTGAATTTTATTTTTTATCGTTTCAGGCAATAAATCTATGGTTTTCTTATGACTTCTTTATAGTATAAATAATTTGTTCAATTGAAAATAAAACTTTAAAAATTACTCGCAAATTTTCTCTCTCTAAATGAAGATTAGCACGGTCTTGATATTGTTGGCGGCACGCCTCATATTCATGGATGGTTGAATTTACATATCGTAAATCTAATTTGCCAACAATCATGCTTTTTTCAGTAGTTTTATCATATTCCGTATACCTGTAACCAAAAAAAATTTCCAGCATTCCACAAAATTCTTCTTAACTGTTTTTTATTCAAACACACACCCCAACTTTGTAACGAGTTCCATCGATTTTGGAATGAAATTATCATCAAGCATTTCAATTTTATTGATTCGTGCTTCAAAATTCAAGGCTTTTTTCAGCTGAATAACACCTAGAAATAGACAGCATTATTATTGGAGGACCTCATTATTTGCCGGTTGTAAAATCTTACCGATGTCGTGTTTATGATTGGGTCTACCTAAATGAACATTTTGAGTATAAGGAAATTTTCCTCCAAACTACTAAACATTGTATAGACTACCTGAATATTGTGGATGGAGTATGAAGTCGTTTTTATCCACTGTCATGGTCTTGTAAGGCTTATTTAAATTTAATGATCCAAAAATCAATGAAAACGATTCTTTTTCAAACAGGCAATGTGCTAAAATTAATTTAAATTAAATATTTAGGTCTTATTGAGACAAAATTCAAAATAGACGGTCAAATAATCTTATGTAATTCGGTCATTAATTATAATTTTAGTTTTCAATTTAATTAAATAACATTTGACCTGCTGTTACGATTTTCCACGGCGATACAATTGTCCCACCACAACAATAATAACTCCAGGTACTGTTAACGATGCAAAACATTCCCATCTATTTTTTTATTCAAACACAAAATAACGAAAATTTCAAACAACACGAAAAAACACATGTTTCATAGGACCATACCATAAAACTATAGTCTTCAATGCTATTGATCAAAGTGCCATCAGCGATTTGCGCAACCACTAGGTATGAAATGGTGTAAATCACGAATTAGCTTTTTGTGTACAATGCAAACAGATTTTTTTTTTCATCTAAATAAAAATTACCATTCGTACGATATTCCTGTGAAAGTAAATGTGAAAAGGAAAAGATTGTAACTTTGGAAAACGGATTCGAAAAAAAAAAATTTGGTGACGCGCCCAAAATCCAAAAAAAAATATTCTTTCGGAGGTTTTGTGCACGAGAATCCGAATCTTTTGGGATACAACAATCGAAAGAAGCGATAAGATTACTGCCCAAAATGATAAAAAAATAAAATTCATGTATAGTTGGCGCTACATTCCATGTAATATGCGTTTACCTTCCACTTGGTCCGTTGCAACGGAAAACAATTTTGCATAGAATGCAGCGCCAACTATAAGTGAATTTTATTTTTTATCGTTTTAAGGAATAAATCTATGGTTTTCTTAAGGTTTCTCTGTTCCGAATAGCTTCTTTATCATATAAGATAAACTTAATGCTATAATAATATAAAGAAAACTTACGTAATATTCCGTGAGGTATATTAATACGAACAATACGTATAACAATTTCATTTTCATACAACAAAATGGACGTAAAATCTTCACAATTCAACTGCCTTTATTTTACAATAAATCGATTTCGATACGAAAGGTAAGGTATAACAACACGGTTTGTACTGTCAATATTTTTTATTTGATCAAGTGATAAATAAATGTATGCCAATTTTTGAACAAAATAACAAATACTAAATAACCAATAATTAATCGACTTCAGAAACGTCTATTAAACGTGCTTTTGAGGTGTCTCTTGATCCATTACAAATTGTAATTTACAATACTTTCTCTTGACACAATAGATGTGAGAAAGAAAAATTGTGTTTATAACAACAATTAAAATTTTGAAGAATTATAAACTTAAGTATAAGAATTATATTATTATGTATTATGTCAACTCAAATTCTGTAATGTTTGTTTATCATTTTACAAATGTTTTTATTTTGCTTAAAACGGCTTCAAAATGGAATAATAATGATAATCGACTTTTTGCTCATTAAGCGAGATCATTTTAATACGATATAATATTTCTGTTGAATAAAAATCAGCTGGTGGTGGTGATAGATTGCGAATTGACATTTTCATGTTTTTCAGTTCAACATTTTTCGATTTTCAGACCATAGTACGGAAAAGTTTGACTTACTGTTGTAAGACTCTTTTTTCTTTTTTCTACATACGCTGTGCTTTAATCCTCCTCCTCCTCTGCTTATTCTCCATTATTTTTATGCACTATGGACCTTCTTTTGTAGATACGAAGTGGCAGCATACACGCTATTTGCGGTACAATTCCTCTTACGGTCTGTGATCGTCAAGTGTAATCAACTTTGTTATAAAAAAAAATAAAGAGTCTTACAGGAGTAAGACGTACTTTTCCGTAAGGTGGTAGATGCGTATTCTATTAAGCTAGTTCAAAATAATATTTGTTTGATTTTTCAAGCCTTTCAAGCGTCGTTCAAACCTTGGCATCGAAATATAATTTAATAGCAGAAGTACTCGGAAAGGATTTTTCACACTTCATGATGAACCCACTGATTTGTACGACATTTGAAAGAATTCTATTTTCTATAAAACACTATAAAAAAATATGTTTGACGTTAATTTTGCCATAAAAATTATTTTTGAAACACTTTTCATAACTAAAGTCACAAAAAATTTGGATTTTTGTATGGGAGCCATGTCTGTATGCTACCTTAATGGTGTGAAACTTTGTACATGTTATTTTTTTCACAAAAAAATAACATTCGGAGGGTTTGGAGAAATTTCAACCAAAATTAAGAGTACTTCCCATACAAAATATACAAAATATTCGTTTTTGAGCCAAATATTGAAAATTTTGTATGGGAGGTACCCCCAATTTTGATTGAAATCTCTTCAAATTTTCAGAATGTCATTTTTTTGTGTAAAAAATAGTCTGTGTAAAGTTTCACGTCTTTAAAGTAGCATACAAATTCAATTTTTTTGCGGTTTTTTCAAGGAAACTGTATTAAAAATTGATTGTATCTCAAAACTAACCTCGGATTCGGTTTTCTCGTTCCAAAAAACCCCTCAATACATATTTTTGAGTGTTTAAGTCTACATAAAGTATGACTTTTGGACAAAAATCGGACTCTTTTTCATAGGTATCACTCCAGGCATGAAATTTTTTCCATCAACCAAAGTCGCTCAAAATCTAATGATTTCTATTCCTCATGACCCCCAATCATCCCATGAAGTCAGATTTTAAATAACTTTTCTGGGGGGTGAGATAATCGATGGACAAATTTTGCGTACAGAGGACAACGTACGACGTGGAACAGACCCACAACAACCATGCTCAAAACGGCCTGATTCAGATTTTCTGACCTCAGAAACGTCCAGAAAACATGTTTTTGAGGTTTCGTAAATTTTGACCCATTGCAATACTTTACCTTACACACTAGGTGTTTGCGGAAAAGTAAAAACAATTGAAATCGTACATAGTGTTTCAAGCAGCGTGACAATGAGTTGCTGAGGTCTTATTGTAGCTGCGTGAATTTTTCAAAATAAAAATAAATCATAATATTTAAACCGAAAATGAAATGTAATCCATATTTTCCAGAAATAATGTCTGTTTGCACAAAAATAACTATATTTGATTAAAAATCTCTGTAAAACTGATTTAATTCAATAAATATAAAATTATCGAAAATCAAACATAACCGAAAAAGTAAATATCAATTGTGATCACTGATCACTTTGTTGCATTCTTAATTCAAACTCACATCTAATCTCAAGCATTCAAATGCAAAACAAAATAACAATTTGTTTGTCAACATAAATGTATCATATCGCAAAACAAAGCGGATTTATCGCGTCGTTCTATTTATGTGTTTTATCATTCCAACAACAGGATGTTTAAGATCGTCTGACCAGTCTTGTGCGTAAGCATTGTACAACATTACATTGATAAGCGTCATTACAATCGTGTGTACATAAATAAAATTGATTAAAAAAACTATGGTTGCTGTAAGCCAACTAAATTTACTGAAAGAAATTAGTAGTGCGATGACATTTTGAAGACGAAATTCGAGCCGTTCAAGAAAAAAATGATGTTCACACTTCTTTGTGTATTCATGTTGTTTTCGAGCGTGTTGTGTTCAAATCAAGTAACAAATTGTGAGTTTATCGATCGAAATATCTATGACGTTCGTTTATCATGTGTTGATTTCACCGGACCCCTTCAGCCATTGGGATGCTTCAATGCTTGTTTCAAGCAAAAATATTTAAAAGACAAAGTGCAAGTGCTCAAAATCGGTGACTGTCGTGGAAATCGATTGAATCCAATTCTTAATCAATTTCAATATTTGCACACATTCAATATCTTCCAACATGGCATCGATCTGCTACTGTCATCAGATTTAAATTTTCACAATTTACACAATTTCAATGCATCACACAATGAGCTCGTCGTTATTTTTGCAGCAACGTTCGAATACACACCAAAACTGACCAAGATTGACCTGTCGTTCAACAAAATTGTTATGGTTGAAAGTAGGACTTTTTCGAGGCTGGTTGATCTACAAACTTTGGACTTGAGAGCCAATCTCATTGAAACAATCGCTGATAATATGTTTGAATTCAATACAAAATTGGAAGTTTTACGGCTTGGAAGAAACCCAATCAGACGATTTGATGGAAACATATTTAGACCCTTGCTAAAATCAATCAATATCGTTGATGTCACTTGGCAAAATGTGAAAGAGCTTGACACAAGCCATTTGAAAGGCTCGTTAAAAATCGAACTCAAAAAGAATGAAGTGATTTTCGGTACACCAACAAATAGTTCAATATTGCGTTGCCCGAATGGAAGTTTTAAAAACATGAACTACTTCAATATCTCCGGAAATGAACAGCAGAACACATTGAAACTAGTTCAATTGTTGGGATCAACGGTTGAAACCTTGGACTTGACCGGAAATTACATTGCGAAGTCGAACGATAACATCCTTAATCTCGTGCAAATACTCGGTAAATTCAATAATCTTACGTATTTGAGCGTGAGTCGCATGAATTTAAGTAAAATCACTTTCGGTGGAGCGTCGCCGAAGAAAGAATGGAATTTAAAAACTCTCGATTTATCCTCCAATCAATTAAATTCACTGAATTTCGTTGGAAAATTTGAAAATTTGGAAAAATTTGACGCATCACATAATCGTTTCAGTAATATACCAGCAAAACTCTTCGACAGCTTGCCAAATGTGACTGAGTTGAATTGGTCATTCAACAAAATAGCGACTTTCGACAATGAAACATTTGCAAAACTGACGCATTTATGTTTATTGGACTTGAGAAACAATGAAATTCAGTCGATTGATAAGAATTTCTTCGAAAATAACCCAAAATTGAAGGAATTACGTTTAGAAAACAATCGGATTGTTCGTTTTGACTGTAATATCTTTCCGATTCTCCAAAACTCACTGAGTGATGTTCAAAAATCGACCAATTTCGAAAGCGATTGGGAAACACTTGAGGAGCTCGACTTAAGTTGCATGGAGAATCTGCACTTGGAACTGGACCACGAGTTCGGCGTCCTTTTAAGAGGATCGTATAATTTTGTGTTTCGTTTTGCCAAGGAAACATTTCGACATTTGAAGTATTTCAATATTTCCGGTTTGCATTTGGAAAATACATCAAAGTTGCTTGCATTGCTGGGTCCATCGCTTCAAAAACTGGATATTTCTGCAAATTTTGTCGGTGCATTAAATGCACACACCTTTGAAACGTTTGAGAATTTACAAGTACTGAACGTGAGCCAAACAAATTTATCAAACTTTGGCTTTGAGACATTCTATCATCAGCGGAAACTCTCTCAGCTGGATTTGTCATATAATCAACTGAAGAAGGTGAATTTTACATTATTATTCCGGAATTTTAAAGAATTAAAGACATTAAATTTGGAAGGAAACGATTTGGTCGAATTGAATACGGTGACTCATTTGATTTTCCCCAATTTGACGTCGTTGGCCATTTCGAGAAATCGATTTTCGTGCGACTACTTGGCAATATTACTACTTCAATGGCACAATTTACATCTTGTAAACAATCCATCCAACCAGACACACATCGATGGCGTTGATTGTTATCATGATAAAGGTCAAAGTAATGAAAAACTGTCTGAAGTTGATAAAAGTGTAGAAACAAAGACAGAAATCACAACGGAAATTGAACAAACATCAACTGAGCTAATGGATTCCAGCGAAAATAGTACAGAGTATTCGACTGTATCGGAAATACATATGGATCACTCGCAGGAAACAAATATTGAACATAATTATTATCTATTAGAGTTGCGAATTGTTGAATTTTTATTAGTTGTGTCTGTAGTTGTTTCTGTTGGTTTGTGTATTCTTTTGAGGCGCAAACAGAAGACGAGAAAAATGGAATGCAATTCGAAAGGAAGTAAACAAATCGCACGCAGCGGACGATATGACATTGAACTAATTGAACATGATGTTTTTAATGAATAGAAATATTAAGATTTTTGCATAAATATTATTTTATATGGAGGTCTTTTTAATAAAAAATAACTTTGGCTTTTCTTTCTGGAAGATTTTTACTCATTTGACATGTTTCATTCATTTGGAGCTCGTTCAAATTGTTGTTTCAAACGTTTTTTTTTTTTTTTTGCAATTTGTTGAATTCATTCGAAATTTGATAATATTTCTTCGACGATGTGAAAGTGTAAATTAACAAAAAATGAGAGGTAATTAAACTGTGTTTTCTAATGGACATTTCTCAGCTTTCTGGTTGTGCTCGTGGACCATGAGTCATGGTAAAACCCATCGAGAATGAGAATAAATTTATATAGATTGCGAAGAAGTTTGCAAAATGAAAATTCATTGCGACATAGTTTGATAACGAAATTTAATAAAGACGTAGCCAAATACAGCCATAAATAAAAAATGTGTGAAATGATTCTGCTTAAAAACAACGTTGTAGCTTTGAAGCGAAAATTTTGATAAAAACATTTTTTTACAGAGTATCATGATTTGCTGCTGCTCAGCATATAGCTGAGAGCTGAGAAATGCTGAACTCGTGCGGCTAACGCATACGAAACGGATGCACGATACATATTCCCCTTTGAAACAACAATTTGAACGAGCTCCAAATGAATGAAACGTGTCAAATGAGTAAAAATCTTCCAGAAAGAAAAGCCAAAGTTATTTTTCAGAATATATGAAAGACTGAGAGCAAAAACAGCACGTCACATCTCATCTCTTGCTTTCACTTACGTAAGCAAAATAACGAGGGATGCGACGTGATGTTTTTCTCGCAGCTTCTCATATGTCGGTCGCAACACAATTTCAAACTCAACTGGTTACTAAGTTTTGAGTTTTGAATTGAACGTCCAATCAACTGTTTATAACCGTTTAAGCGGGGAGAATGCATGTGTGCGTGCCATCCGTTTCGTATGCGTTAGCCGCACGAGTTCAGCATTTCTCAGCTCTCAGCTATATGCTGAGCAGCAGCAAATCATGATACTCTGTTTTTTTTATGATGTATTGTAACTTCTGTTTTATAAAAAAAACAATGTTAAATAGCTTTGGTAGTAAGTACTGACGACTTGAATGGATGGTGACTTTTCAAAACCAAATAAAAGACAAATTTACACGAAAACGTAGGATTTGAAGCTATTGTAAGCTTGATTGTAACGTACAATCGAAGTTGTTTTCAGAAATCCATAGGAAAAGCTAAATCTAATAATGATGATAATATCTGGCACGAATTTTCATAAAAGAAAAAAATATACTATTTGAAGATTATCGTCAAACGGTATGTGCGATGATAACTAAAACACATTCAAAGCTCTATAATAAATTAAACAATAAAATTGTTCAAATAGTTCTTCGCGTAATGGACTAAATTCGCGTCTGTTTTAAAAATATATATTAACCGAAGTCGTATGGAGTAAATCATCAGTTAACTGTGAAAACCTGTGAATACAAGATGAATCGAAAGTTTCTCTGTCTTTTTCTCTGTGCAATTATAAGTTTGGAGGTCATTTTCTGGATAATGTCGATTAAAGACTTTAATTTAAAAAAAATATTTTTATTTTCGTCTTGTTTCACAGCTCCTAGTTCCATGCGCTAATTGTTCTGGCACTGTTAGTAAGTATTCTTGTAAATTAAATTAAAATCATTTATGGTACAGTGTCATAAGTATATACTGACATCGGACCTCTTTTGAATGTCTTCTTGTTTTAATAAAGAAAAGATGAAAAAAATCGGCAAAGCTGCGGGCAAGGGTGCTATGGAAACTGCCAAGGGAATTGGTAAATCAACTGCCAAATTTGGAGTAAGTACGGTAAAAACGGTTGGATATGGGATCAACACTGCTGTTAATGCTGCTGACACCGGTCTTGCAATAGGACTTTGTCCAATAGCATGTTTGTGCGGTTGCCCAGGAAAAGGTATTGGACTGGTTGAAAAGACAGCTACCGAATTACAAAAAAATGCTGTACATACGGTTACCAATGGAATCAACGCAGGCAAACGTGCTGGTATTGTGGGTAAAAAGGTAGCAACTAGTCCTTATACTTGTGGTAAAAATGCGATGCAAGAGATGGCAGAAATCGAACATCAAGAGGAAATTCTGGAAGCACTAGAGGAAGAAAAACGGAGAAAATTGAAGGAACTACCAGGACCAAGTAATTGATCACATTTTTCAGTGGTTTTTACTCATAATTTAACGTTTCTTTTTTCATTTGTGACAAAATATTGAAAATAAATATTGCAATTGAACATATTTTAATAATTGAATTTTCTTACTATTGAAGATATTTACACAGTAGAAGAGTGCAGAGTAGTACACAAATAATTATATTAGAATATTCGCTAGCAGTGAAATAATCGTATACGATTACATGTATACATGTAAATGTAAATGATTTCAAGTTTTTCTCTATACGTGGCTTTTCTCACAAATACTTGCGATATGATGGTAGAATTTATTGTTTTTATAATATAACATTTTTATATTATTTCAACAACATTCAAGCAATGAGATTATGAATTCATCTTAATCGATTGCACACATTGGCATTTCAAAATAATTTAAAATATTGAGTTCAATACGTTAGAAGAAATACCTCCAACACATTCAAAGATTAATAATACATTAAGGAATAAAATTGTTCAAACAGTATGGAGTAAATCATCAGTTAACTGTGAATACAAAATGAATCGATAGTTTTTCTGTCTTTTTATTTTTCCGCCCACACGTAGTGTGTAAGGGCAAAGTATTGCAATGGGTAAAAATTTATGACACCTCAAAAATATGTTTTCTGGACGTTTCTGAGGTCAGAGAACCCGAATCAGGCCGTTTTGAGCATGGTTGTTGTGGGTCGCTTTCACGTCGTACGTCGTACGTTGTCCTCTGTACGCAAAATTTGTCCATCGATTATAATTTCAACCCCCAGAAAAGTTATTTAAAATCTGACTTTACAGGATGATTGGGGGTCGCGAGGAATAGAAATCATTAGCTTTTGAGCGTCTTTGGTTGATGAAAAAAAAAGAGTCCAATTTTCGTCCAGAAGTCATACTTAATGTAAACTTAAACACTCAAAAATATGTATTGGGGGGTTTTTCGGTACGAGAAAACCGAATCCGACGTTAATTTCGAGATACAATTGAGTTAAAACAGAGTTTCTTCGAAAAAAAAATTAATTTTTGTATGGGAGCCATGCTTTTATGCTACTGTAATGACGTGAAACTTTACACAAAAAAATGACATTATGAAAGTTT